ATGCACATGTCCTGCAAAAACATTTTGAGATGGGATGAGGTGATAATCTGTCAAAGAAATACACTTATGCTGCTTTAACTGCAATCAACAAGAATGTTCTTCTAACTGGGTCAGTTTCACTACAATCTTTTGAACCTAAGGCAGATATGAGGAAATGGATGGAGGTTTAAACACTTGCACAACACCAGCTTGCTCATCAGTCGTCGCGATGCCCCAGACATTCTAGTCATTCACTTCGAGGAAATGACTACGATAATTAAGTGAGTTAATTAAGTAAGTGAACGTTTCTGTGATTTCATGAAGCACTGAGACATTCCCAGCGAAACTCCTAACTCTGAGGTGAATGTGTCAACGCTGATTTGTTCTCTCACATTGCCACCAATAAAATGTGAATAACTGTACTGATGCATGGAAAATGATGGGAATTACCCCTGGGTCGAGGCTGGGTAACATCAAAACAAAACGGTTACGGGGAGAAGGCGTACATTCAGATAGTGGAGAAGTTACATTTTGGTCAGATAATGTGGGATGTGTGCAGGCAACAGGGCTGGGGAGGTGGGAGTCAAAGGATGTGGGTCACTGCCACAGCACCCACCAGTTCCCGCAATGAGACCCTATTTTTCCGTCTTGCCGGGCACTTCCTTTTAAGGGTATTTCTGGCCTTGCAAGTCTGTAATTTAAAGCATGGAGGTTCAGGCCATTCCTGAGCCCCTTTTGGAGTTTGTAGTGGGTAAAGTACACAGGGGGATGCTTACATTGCACTTCTTTGATAAATCCACCCTCTTTCAACATATCAAAACCACATGTTGATACAATAATCCGGATCTTAACTGCAGAGAACTCCCTGTTCTAAAGGGAGAGTTTGCAGTGTGGGAAATAGCAAAGAATTGTCAAGCTGTGAAGTCATTTGAAATATGCCCAGGAGCCGGGGACACGGCCGGGATTTGATCAGAGCCCGCCACAGCAGTCGGCATCTTAGTGCAAAGGAAGCTGAGTGTTTTGGACAGGGGGAGGCAGGCTTCGCCCAGACACAGGCGTCTGCGATTCCTCTGGTGCCTTTGGTAAACTGAAAATAAATGGAAGCTTATTTCTACTCATTTGGTAATAGATGTGTCACTTCCTGTAATGTGTCTTGGTCTCTGATCCACACCCTGCAGTTGTGTTGTCGTCCATGTGTTCAGTAACTTCCCCTTTGATTGAGAGTCATGCTTCTAACAATTTGGGAATTTTCCTTATCTCCAAAGATAGGGAAAATAAAAGTCTGAATTTTCCTTAAACACGCCGAGTACATGAGTCATTACAAGTTGGTTTTACCATTTTCCTCGGTGCTCCGACTGTCTCCATGCCTGGTTTACACAAACATGAAGTAACAGAACTGTGGAAAAGCAACCAAGCAAAAATGCTCAACTATGGAAAAGAGTGGACATATTTGCCAGAATGGCCAGAAGACAGTTTGTGGCCAAATATGATGTAAGGCAGTGAAGCAGCCACAGCAGATATACACTCTCTCTCAATTCAATTCAATTCAAAGGGGCTTTATTGGCATGAAAGTTAAACAAAACAATGTTGCCAAAGCATCAAAATACAAAATAATTAACAATATTAACATACATTTCAAATGTTTACATATTATTGATATATATATATATATATATATATATATATATATATATATATATATATATATATATATACGGTGATACAATTACACTTCAACACACGTGTGTGAGTGTTTCTTTGGGTGCGTGGGTGTGTGATTTTGTGTGTGTGTGTGTGTGTGTGTGTGTGTCTCATTCACTGTCCTTCAGGTTGTGGCATGACATGTCATGACATGACATGACATGTCCCATGACATGACATGACATGTCCCATGACATGACACGACATGTCCCATGACATGGCATGTCCCTCTCTCTTTCTCTCTCTCTCTCTATTAATTATCATCAGCTCTAATCATCACACACACAATGCCCTCACTTTGATGTCTTATTTCTAGCCAGAATCAACACGGGAGGAACCAAAACCCAAATCTTTTTCCTAACTTTCCAACAGAGGAGCCATCAAGTTATGCTCATGAGTAAGGGATGAGAAACAACTAAAGAATTTGACTTTGAATAATGTTTCTTTCACAGAAGAGTGGAGGGATTTAAGTAGCCTACATTTAGGGAAATCGCCCCCAGATTGAATCTTTTAAGTTTAAGGGGATGATGTCACTTCTCCCCACTCCTCCTTCACTCCTGTTTCTCTTGGTAGTTCCTGAAACTGACTGTGCATTCATTCTCACTGAATGAAAACAACACATATAACTGGGTTATAGGCATGGGCTGATGATGACCCTGGACCCACATCAGTATTATTTAAGAAGTGAATTTTAATTAGCTTGAAAGGTTTCAATGCCTGTAATCATCTTTAAAGTGACAATTTATCAAATAACATATCAACTGAATGTGCAGCTCCCATTGGCTTAACATTAGCTTTATACAGTTTCAAGTCATTGTTTAGCTTTCCAGCCCACATCTTACTGTTGTGTTTCAATCTCTCATAGCGCCATTTTCGGCCCAAGTTCTCCATAAATAAACTCTAAAAACCCACAGTATTCTACCTGCTCAGCAACAATCAGCACACAGACAGATTTAGTAACAAGCTAAAGTAAACACTTAGCAGCTAAAGAGATAAATGTTTCCCTCTGAAGTTGGTAGAGACCCTAAACAGACTGTAGATTGTAAATGTGCCGCTACACATGAATTATAATGTTGCTTCATACTGGATTTGCAAGAATTAAAGTGTTAACAAGTTCACCACATCCTCTTAAAGTCTGACCTTATGTAATTGCTCTGTTTACTGTGCTTTTGCTGTCGCTAAGTGGCCAAAACAATCAGTTATTGCATGAGGTACATATGACATTGCAAAACCATTGAGTAAAGTTGAAGAAGGGGAAGAAGAGGAATCACAGCTGAGCCGATGTTGTAAAAAGTATCGTAAGGTCACAGTTACCACTAAGTGTGGCCTTAGATTGAGGGTCAGATGGAGGTCAGTCCAAAGCAGTTCAGCCTCACAACTACTATCTGTCAGGGAATAATTTCGCCCTACATGTTTACCTTTTGCTCTGTGACACAGCTGACCAATCTTGAGCAGCCGTTATCTCCCATAAGGAGGGGCTGCCCTAGCAAGTTGTTGTTGTTCCCAGTTTATGACCGGGTAACTCTCTGTCAGAGATAGTTATTGTTGTGGGACACCTGGAACACATCCTTCTCGGGGTGTAGATGACCCCGAGCCATAAGCGACAGCAAATGTGATTCAGTGTCCTCAGCTGTTTAGTCTATCTATTGAAGAATGTTGATTATTACACTCTGAACTAGTTAAAACCTCGAGCTACAGGAGGGTTCTTCAGAATTGATTGGCATCTCAACCGTGTGGTCAGATCGTGGCCCGTGAAATGTCTTGTGAATTCTCCGGCCGAAGCTCCAAATAAACCGTCAGTGTTTGCCATCAAAGCTCCAGCTCTCCTCGTGTCTCTCTCAGAGTCCTTTTTCCAATTGCTTCAGAAGTTTCCCCCACACTATCTTATTTACATTAGAGGAATACAGGAATGTTAACACTTGTATCACAATTTATCAAACTGTTTCTAAAAACAGTCTGATAAAAAACCCTCTCAAAACAGCAAGTTGGTGTTTTTAACTTTTTCTTTTGTATGTTTTAAACAAACACGATAGTTTTCAAGATGTGTTTACTAGTGTGCTTTGGAGGTGCTGGTAGACATATGTTGTTACTGTTAGGGAATAATTTGCCCTAGTGTCCTCTTTCACCCTCTGACACAGATGCTCCAACCTTGAGCAGACGTTATCTCGCTTAAGGACGGGCTGCCCTAGCAAGTTGTTGTTGTTACCAGTTTGTGTTTGACATCAAAGCTCCAGCTCTCCATCGTGTCTCTCTTTGAGTCCTGACTCCAATTGCTTCAGAAGTTTCCCCCACAGTTACTTTTTGACAGGCTATGTTTCAATCTTACATTTCCATTACAAAAATATGAGATAATCATTTTTTTGTACTCTTGGCCATAATACAACTAATTATATTTAGCAAAAATGTCTAAGCATTACTTTAGATTTTGTGTCTATGTTCATGGCTTCAAGAAAAGGAATCCTGGTGACCCCTCTGACTTGGTGACACACACACACACACACACACACACACACACACACACACACACACACACACACACACACACACACACACACACACACACACACACAGACACACACCCACACACGCACAATCAACATACAGTACACTCATGGTCTAAATATATATGATACAGGACTGGAGATATAACGTTCCCTTCCATTTTTGGGTCTGCAAAAGCCCAACATAGTGTCTGCTGACTTTTCTCTGCTCACCAACATAATAACCTAAGATAGGGAAACACCAGCCATAATGACTCAAGTTTTCCAAGCCGTGTAGGTCATTCCTTCTTTAAAGCTGGTTAGGTTTATATATTACAAGTTGAGTTCACGTTAAATCTCGTTATTCTTCTATTCTAAGGGATTTTAGGTTTAGATTTGGGGAAAACTCAAGACAAAATGTTAAAAGCGGAGGTTATGGTTAAGGGCAGGGGTGTCCAAACTACGGCCTGGGGGCCAACTGCGACATTTGAAATGGCCCTCAGCTAAATTCAAAAAGCATAATGGAATATGGCCCACAACTGAAACTTTGCTTTTCTTACATTTCACTTCCTAAATGTATGTGAAAAAATATATAATATCTGTTTTAAGGAATTAGCTTTTTGTTGCAAATTTTATTTTATTTTTTTTAATTGTTAGAGGCCCAGCCCATCGTATGTTTTTCTGCATGTGGCCATCACCAGTGAAAACGTTTGGTCATAAAATATACATACAACTTTCCATAAAAAGAGAAGAAAAATGCATGTGTGTGTGCGTGTGTCCCACCCATTCATGCGACAGTAGTTTTTGTGACAGAAAGTGACGGGTTCGCGGGTAGATGTGAACACTTTGGGAGCCCCTGACCTCCACAGAGCGGCAGCAGCTCACTGGCTGAGCCCCCAGCAGGGGAGGAGTCTGCCGCCAGCCTGCAGTGATAAAACCCGGCTGCTCCTGATGGTAGTGGAAAACAGATTTGGAGGAGGAAGTCTCCGAGTGCTCTCTTCAACAGGAATGAACTCCCTCTCATGCCGTGTGCATCTCATACTCTGACTACTGGACCGTCTGTTATTCACGGGGATACTTCTCGCTTAAGCTGGTCTTCAAAGTGTTCCTTCACGTTTTCCTCCACTGCTTTGAATCAAACAGCCTTCTAAGATGACCTGGACAGCGAACAGTTGTTTTGTCACTCTGGCCATCCTGTTTCTGTGGCGGGGGGAAGAGGTAGCAGAAGCCTGCAGATGCTTCCCAGCGCATCCTCAGGAGGTGTTCTGCCGCTCAGACGTCGGTAAGTCCACTCACTGAGCCAAATGAATGAATATGATGCAGCATTTAGTCAGTACAGTATGTTTTGTTTTATCATAATCATATGTTGATATTTTAGCCTTGATAGCAACAGGAATGCCCTTAGTGTTATTTGCCAGTTCATCTGACTTTTTGTTGATCAGTATAAACACCACAAGAAACATATTTTAAAAGTTGTTACAATATTGCTTACAAAAGCATTTTTGCCACATCAATGGCTTTTATTGAGGCTGATTATAGTTCAAGTTATTTATAATATAATCAGAGGCAATACAAGGATATTGCCTCAGTTTTTTTGTGCATAATCTTAACAAATAGCACATTTAAATGAGCAATTAAAAGCAAGTAATGCAAACATATAAAAACAATACTTTAATAAAATAGGATTAGAATACAAATGTGGAAAAAAACAAAACAATATTGGTATCTCATCTGTTGAATAAACTATGGATGGAGTAAGGCTCATCAGTATCATGCAAAATGAATCCTTAAATCAGTGGTTGAGGGGTTTATGGTGCACTTCCTTCATGACTACTAAATGGCAATTTAATATGCTCTTTCTTAAAGGTCATGTGGATCCTTTCCCTACATTACATCATAGAAAACTGCTTGTTACTGCATCAACACAGGCCTTAAAGTGGACCTATCATGCTATATTATAATAATATAGTGTAGGACCATACCTATATAAGGCATATTTATACTTTTTTTTTAACAGATCATGCATTTTAGCCATGCCTCATTTCGCTCAAATTGCACTTTTTTTACCCCTGTTTTTGCAAGGTCTGATTCTGTGAGAACAGCACCACCTACAGGCCTGGCATATGTACTACAGCGTCTCCAGCGCTTTCGAGCGGCAATGGCCGTGGCTGTCTCCTCCTGATTGGTGGAGTTGGCCCAATAGCCGTAGCGCCACTTTCCTGACGTCAGTAAAGTGTTCAAATCTGGATCAGTTTATATCAGATCCGTTGCAGCCCCTTTTTTAGAGATTTGGGTATGGAGGAAAATAGAGAGGGTTGTGTTTTCTGACACTTGGTGAGTTCCCTGGAACACCGGGGACACATATTCATGTATAAAAGACGTACAAAAGTGCATTTTGCATGATAGGTCCCCTTTAAGCTAACGGAGTCTCAACAGTGACCAGCTTGTTTAGCTTTTTTACATTTGCTGAGGGTCTTTTTTCTTGGTTGGGAGCCGGCTGAATGTGCGGTATGTATACAGAAGCTGACTTATTCAAAGGCTTCTCTTTACCATTGGATTCCTTGGCGCTGGAGGGTAAAGAAACCACATTATCCTGGTGGAGAGTTTACTGTAAAGAAGGGAAAACAAGTTCAGTAGTTCCTCTAACCTTTCGTCACTAAAAGAGGGAAGAAAATTAGCTGAGATGACATTTAACATTTACTGTGATTTCAAACGGATCAGTTTCAACACTTTACCCCCCTAACGGCCCGTCCACACAGCGGCTTTGGAAAAAGCTTGCCGGCGGGCGTGTCTGAAGCTCGACCAACAACCAATCACATGAATCTCCCGCCCCTGACACACAAGCAGCGGTTTGATTGGCTAGAGCTTGTACTGGCATATGATTTGATTGGCTGACGCTTCCACCGAAAGCTTCAGAAGCTTCAAAAGTTGAACATTGCTCAACTTTTGCAGCCTGAAACGCCAGGAAAGCTCCGCTCTGCTTCCCACAATGCAGTTCGGCGAAAAGTGACGTCACCCCATTCAAAGTGAATGGGCAGAAGCGTTGGAAGAAGCTTCCAACGCCACTGTGTGGACGGACCGTAACCCTGCTTCAGCACCATGGATAGACCCTCCTGCTTAAATAAACCATCAGTCTGTTAGGATCAGCCTTTCTGGTCTGAAGGCTCTTGATACTTAAACAAGTTAATCTGTGACGTTTATGGAATGTAAAGTCACTGTGGCTGCTATACTGTAGAGAAAATGAATGGGTGGCTGACTTTGCAAAATATGCTTTGTTGAGCTAGCAAATCCAAAATGAAGGTGGTTATTTACCATTGGCGGTTCTGCCTTTAAATGTTTCCTTAGTTTAAATGTCTTATTTCAGTTCCTGGTCAACGCTCCAGGTGATTTGTATGAAGATAAAACAAAGTTATTTGGATTAAAACATCGTTAGTAGTACGATAACCTATCAGGCTCTCCTCTCCTCTTTCTCTGCTTCGATCTCTCAGGCAAAAATCACTTTCTTTCAAGATAAGATCTAATCTTCCTATTCCAATCCCCAAAAACTATTTTCCATCTTTTCCACCCTCTTAGAACCCCCCAGAGCCCCTTCCCCCTCCTCCCTTCTTTCAAGCGACTTTGTTAACTACTTTGAAAAAAAGGTTGATATTCGTTCTTCTTTTTCCGACTCACCTTTACTCACCGCTGGGTCACCAGACCCACCTTTCACCCACACACTAACCTCCTTTTCCCCTCTCTCTCCAAGTGAGGTTCTTACCCTCATTACCTCTGCCCGTCCTACCACTTGTCCTCTGGACCCTATCCCCTCAAACCTCCTTCAGACTATCACTCCTGATATTCTACCGTTTCTCACCCATTTCATCAACACTTCTCTAACTTCTGGTCACTTTCCAAACAGTCTCAAGGAGGCAAGAGCAAACCCTCTCCTAAAGAAACCCACTCTCAACCTGTCTGATGTTATAAACTACAGGCCTGTCTCTCTCCTCCCGTTCCTGTCTAAAACACTTGAACGCGCTGTCTTTAAACAACTCTCCTGTTATCTCAGAACAACCTTCTGGATCCGCACCAGTCTGGTTTCAAGGCAGGTCACTCAACAGAAACTGCCCTCCTCGCTGTCTCTGAGGAACTGCACACTGCTAAAGCAGCCTCCCTCTCCTCTGTCATCATCCTTTTATACCTGTCTGCTGCATTCGACACGGTGAACCATCAGATCCTCTTTCGCACTCTCCAAGAATCTGGAGTTTCAGGCTCTGCACTTTCCCTCCTCACCTCCTACCTCAAAGACCGTACCTACAGGGTAATTTGGAGAGGGTCCGAGTCCGACCCTTGTTAATTAACGACAGGGGTCCCTCAGGGCTCTGTTCTTGGTCCCCTCCTCTTCTTGTACACAAACTCGCTCGGTTCTGTCATTAGCCCGCATGGTTTTTCATACCACTGCTACGCTGACGACACTCAATTAATTCTGTCCTTTCCCCGCTCAGAGACCCAGGTCGTCGCACGCATCTCTGCTTGCCTAGCTGACATCTCTCAGTGGATGTCTGCTCACCACCTCAAGCTCAACCTTGACAAGACTGAACTGCTTTTCCTTCCGGGAAAAGATTGTCCCACTCTTGACTTGACAATCAACATCGGCACCTCTATTGTTTCCCCAACTCAGACTGCAAGGAATCTGGGTGTGACCCTAGATAACAAACTGTCCTTCACTGCAAACATCGCTGCTACAACCCGCTGCTGCAGATACACTCTTTACAACATCAGGAGGATACGTCCCCTCCTAACCCAGAAAGCGACGCAGGTTCTGACCCAGGCTCTGACCCAGGCTCTGACCCAGGCTCTCGTCATCTCACGCCTAGACTACTGCAACTCCCTCCTGGCTGGTCTACCTGCATGTGCCACCCGACCTCTGCATCTCATCCAGAATGCAGCGGCTCGTCTGGTCTTCAACCTTCCAAAATGTTCCCACACCACGCCGCTCCTCCGCTCCCTTCACTGGCTTCCAGTAACTGCTAGAATCCACTTCAAGACAATGGTACTTGCGTACCATGCTGCGAATGGATCTGGCCCTTCCTACATCCAGGACATGGTTAAACTGTACACCCCAGCACGTGCACTCCGCTCTGCATCGGCCAAACGGCTCGCTGCACCAGCACTGCGAGGGGGACCCAAGTTCCCATCAGCAAAAACACGTCGGTTTGCTATCCTGGCTCTCAAATGGTGGAATGAGCTCCCCATTGAAATCAGGACAGCAGATAGCATACACATCTTCCGGCGCAGACTGAAAACTCATCTCTTTCGACTCCACTTCGAGCGATAGAATTACTAACAAAGAATTACTAACAAAGCACTTATATACTAGTAAAGGACATGGCTTATCTAAAGCCAGTCGAGTAGCACTTGAAATGTTTTGGCTCTATGAAACCTGATGTACTAATATGATTCTGTATTCCTTCAAGTTTGTATCTTGTTGGTCGAATGCACTTATTGTAAGTCGCTTTGGATAAAAGCGTCAGCTAAATGCAATGTAATGTAATATTGTCTTAAGAACCCCCTATACTGTCAGACAATTGTCTTATGTAATAAATATTACTTTAGTTAAATAGACTATTTCTGGGAGTCTATGGAAAATTACTCAAGAACATGAGCTTCTTGCAATCTAAGTTACAGTGAAACTCTTAATAATAGGGAAGAATAATCAACCTTTTCATAAATGACTAATTCATCTGCAACCATTGCAGAGTCTCTTGCAACTTCAATTTACAGTAAAGATACTTTGTTGTATTTCATACAGTATTTTTGTTTTGGAAGGCAACATTCAGATTATAATTCCTAAAGAAACATACAAGTACAATAATTAATCTTAATGGGTTAACCTTAAAAGGAGATGTTCTCTACAACTCTACTGTCAAAGAATTAGGGCACATATGGCTTGCAGTTTCATACATCCATCATATAAAAAGCAAGTGAAAAGGCTTGATCTTGTTTGGTAAGGCAGAGGGCTGGTGATGGTCTGAGGCAGTCGGTAGCTTCCACCTTGAGAAAGACACAACTTGAACTGAGACTTCCGAGAGAACATCTGTTAGACATTAACTTTATCGCTAGTCCGCTTAAAAGCTTGACTTTTCCATTGCATATTCACAATTGGATTCACATGACACAAGCAGTTATTGTGAAACATATCTTTGTGTTTAATACTCAGCTCGAAGGCTCGTTCGTAAGGCTTTGATGGTGTTTTTCCACTTGAACTGTTCTATTTTATTCCGCCGTCGAAACCTCACTGAATCAGGGAGCTGAAACTTCAGAGTGCAAAATAGAGAGGGAGAGGATGTAAAATGCTCAGATCCAAGCCACAGCAAAGAGTTGTGGCTGTCTTTAGCATGCCAAACCTGGACAGGGCTTGGATCAGATACAGACGGACTCAGATCCTGTTCCGTTTTAACATGATAATAGTGTTTGACTTTGAAACTCTTGTCTTCAAATTAAATGTGGGTTGTGCTTGTCTCTTTTGCAGTTATGAGGGGAAAGGTAGTTGGAGTGCAGGAGGTTGATGCTGTCAATGACATCTATGGAAACCCCACCAAGTATGACATCAAACAAATCAAGGTATGTGGAATTAAAGCTATCATTTTCATGTTGGGGTCTAAACCTTTTCCTTAATGAATCTTAATTGACTTTGCTTTGTTTGAATTGTCAGATGTTCAAAGGTCCCAGCAATGGTATTGATGCCCTCTACACCAATATCTTTTTAAGTTGTGGAGTGATCCTGAATAATGGCACGGAGTATCTCATCACAGGTACAACTTTCACCAAATCACACATTATAAAATATATCAAATATTGTTCTTTGAAGAGTCTTTGTTTTATGTCATCTAATGCTCTTTTCCCTCTCCCAGGCGAACTAAATGATGATGGGATGATGTATATCGGACTGTGTGACTTCATTAAGCCCTGGGACAAACTGAGTGAAACCCAGAAGAGCCTGACTCAGCGCTATGAAAGGGGCTGTGGATGCAAGGTGGGAAATGACCACAAACTAAAATAATCTTTTAAAAATGCATAGTTGCAAGAGTTGTAAATATAATCCGTGATCTTGGTTTCTTTTCTGATCCTCAGTTCACCTTCTGCTTCACCACCCCCTGCATAGTCAGCAGCCCGGCTGAGTGCATGTGGACGGACTCACTGATTGATAATCAGATGTACGGAGGGCAGGCCAAACACTTAGTTTGTATGAAGAGGAGTGATGGCTCTTGTGCCTGGTACAGAGGGCCCCACTGACAGATAGTGTCAGGATTTCTGAGATGAACTACAATTAAAATACCAAAATACAAATACATACCCAAGTAAAATTCCTATTTCGTTTTCTCTTCTTAAAAAGCCATTGGGTGTGTGAGTAAAGGTGGGCGACGCCCCCGATGACGTTAGAGGAGTTTGCGCACAGACAGTACAGACATTTGAAAAAAAGCAGGCGGTTCCAGTTGAAGAGAAGAGAGCATGGACCCTCATCTAAAATGAATACTCGTGGATTTTGAATCATGTAAGTATATTTATGTACTTTATTAACTATGTACGTCCTGTGGGGGAAACTTCTTTAGCAATTGGAAACAGGACTCAGAGAGACACGAGGAGAGCTGAAGCTTTGATGGCAAACACTGATGGTTTATTTGGAGCTTCGGCCGGAGAATTCACAAGACATGTCACGGGCCACGGTTTGACCACACGGTTGAGATGCCAATCAATTCTGAAGAACCCTCCTGTAGCTCGAGGTTTTAACTAGTTCAGAGTGTAATAATCAACATTCTTCAATAGATAGACTAAACAGCTGAGGACAGTGAATCACAGTTGTTGTCGCTTATGGCTCGGGGTCATCTACACCCCGAGAAGGATGTATTCCAGGTGTCCCAGGTGAGAGTTGCCCGGTCATAAACTGGCAACATCAACAATATGCTAGGGCAGCCCCTCCTTATGGGAGATAAGGGCTGCTCAAGGTTGGTCAGCTGCGTCAGAGGGCGAAGGAGGACATGCAGGGCAAATTATTCCCCAACAGTTCCTCTCTTTTTATCAATTTTGATAACCTAAAAACCTTAGTCTAATAATAATTTGTTCAATACTTAAATCAATGGGAATCTTCAGATTTGAGTGTGGATTTACACAACATCAATTACATCAATTACATCAATAACAATCACATCAATAATAACATAATAAGATTGAAACATTCAATCACAATGATTGAGACAGCCAATCATATTAGAAAAATCATCTCTCGTCAGTGTTCGGAGCATCTTTTTGTCAAAAGCATAACAATGAACACATAAAATCACAGATACATATTAGCAACAACTATTTCTTTTAAAATAATATGTTTTAACATTTAACCATTAGTTAATCTCATTTATCAAACTATAAAATCAAAACCAGCTTGCAGTTTAAAGATTTACTTCAAGGCAATCACTAGTCAAAAGCATTTAAAAATCAGGATCATAAGAGATCTAGCAAAGGTATAAGAAATTCACACTGGTGATCTAATCAATCTGTAATCTACAAAATTGCAGTGTCTTCAATTTAGGATTATATTTACGCTTCATTAATCAAAAGACTATGGCATGATAACATAATTACATTACTTAAACTATCAATCCTTATATCATTTCAAAATCTGAAGGGAAAAGTTAAACAATTCTCAAAATGTTTAACAATCTGAAAAGGAAAAGTCAGGCAAATATTCAAAGACTTTTGGAAAAACCTGGAAAGGAAAGATTAAAGATTCTTAAAACTTGAATTCATACATTTGTAAATGATACCACTGATCTGTACCAAATTAACTCAATTAATTATTCTTATTAGCCATACTTACCTGAAAATCTACTTATGGTACTTTGAAAGGGTTCTTCTGTGTTTATCTAATGTTGAATATAGAATATCAATTTCTTTAAATTATACTTCTCTAATTTGAGGATCAAATATGCTACATAATTGTTATATGAATTATTATACATATTTGTTTTGGGCCAAAACTGAAATTAATCCAGTACTAGAAACATAATTGTAGGTCTATCTGTGCATGGATAATACATTAAAGAGTAGTGTTGTTAAGCCTGCTTGCTGGATGATTAAGGATATTAACATTATCTGTTATAATATTAGAAATACCTTATTCAATACCTTATAATCTGAAAATATTAATTATTTTGTTTAGTGCGAAAGTGTAATCTGATCTGACAAAAATATATTAATCACCACTATTTAACACATGTCTGGTCATTGGAAATATAAAAAACAATCATTAATTGTACATCTGTAAATATCTGGTCATTCAATTCAAAGTTCATCTTTGTGCGAGAGCTGGGAGAACATGTCCGTCAGGCTTCCTGACTCGTTCTCCTCCTCCCTTTAGGACACAGAGTGTCTGGTGTGTAAAGGCATCCTGATACTGTAGATTAGCACTGAGGTGCTGATTGACTCAAACTCTTCTTCATCAGAGCGCCATATTTCAACCCCCCCAATTGCTCTGCTTTTGTGTGGCTCATTCAGTGAGCGCTGTAGCTGACCCCCCAGTGAGACGGAGGCTCATCTGCCTGTATTCCTTCTGCTATCTGCTTGAGAGCAGTGCAACTGCGTATTCCTAGTGGCGCATCCAGGTGTCCCCCCCGTGATGGGAGAGGTTAGGAAGACATCAAACTGCTCCAAGAAACATGGAACCTTGTATTATAGAAGCCTCTGAAGCCCTCGCTCGTCCTGCAGGGTTGTCTGCTAGAGCCCACCGAGCAGAAAGATGAAGAGAAGAACCCCCTCTCAGCAGAAAATTGAAGAGTATAATCCTCTCATCTCGAACGACCTCGTGCTTCCTTGCACGTGGCTGGGGGTGCTCTCTGCACCCGGAGAGTGTGACCCTTTCTCTCTGACCCTTGGCCTTGAGAGCTGTCCTAGTTATCGGCACAGCACCTGATAGGGATGTTTTCTGAGCGATGACAACTCAAAGTAATGGATTAGCACATTATCATTTAATTACAAAAATAGGATGGGCCCCTCAGAATTATTTGGGAGCCTTCCTGACACATGCACATTATCATTTGAAGGTTTGTAGCCTTGGTGTTGGGAACAGGGGGTCACAGGTTCAAACCCCACTGCAGTCAGCATGTCGTTGTGTCCCTGGGCAAGACACTTCACCCCAAAATTGCTCCTGTGGGGATTGTCCACAGTATAGAGTATGCAAGTCGCTTTGGATAAAAGCGTCTAACAAGTAACATGTAAAAATGGGTGTAGCCTCTATGTTAATGGTTGTGGCAGCACAAAAGAGAAAGGGAGGGAGTGAGGCAGTGAGTAAGACTTCCTAAATGGACTGTGTCAGTGTGCTGAGAGCATGCTGGGAGCTGATAGCAGAGCGGTACAGTTGAGGAAAGCCGGCAGTGTCTCTGTGACTGGAGGAGCAGGCTCCTTCTCTCCGCCGCCTGTCATGTGGACTTCTGGCCCGCCTGCGTTACGCCACAGGAGCTGACAGAAAAGAGGACTTTTTTTATATCAAGGAACAGAGATAAGGTGATAGAGAAGGAAGAAGAGCTCTCTGGAAAGACACATAATTTGCTCTTTGGAGGACTCTCTTACAGGTTAGCACTTACATTTGTTTGCCGTCATGTGTTTTTTAAGTTGTTCTTGTATTGTTTTCCACTCTGTTTGTAGAGCCTGTTATTTCTGGTCCTTTGATGTCATTTTAGACTTTGGGCAGTTTTCATTTATTCTGTCCAACCACAGCCATGCTTTGATTAAATCAGTGAAGTTGGGGTTATAGTGTGCTGTCCACATAAAAAGCAGCTAGGATGAATTTGGGACAGCAGTGAGAATGTGAGGTGCCTGTTATGAGAAACAATTTGTTGCTTAGACTAAACGATGGAAGCTCGACTGGAGAATTTAAAATAAATCAAAACAACTGTACATTAATGAAATACATTTAGCTTGAGCTGGCTTCAATACTTTCTATATGGTATTGAAATGAGGCTCAAGTAGAACCTTTACATTGATTTGGCTTGCAACACAAAGTGATACTGATCTCTGTCTGTTATGATTTGGAAGTCTCATGATTTAAAGTGTAGGCCTGACTTGGAAAACAACATCGAGTCTTTTAACTGTAATTACTTATTTTAAAGAGATTGCAACATTATACTTTTAAAGAATTACTCAATTAATTTAACACATTTATTATGCACACAATAAAAACTTAAACAAATGTATTGCCCTTTACTCTTTTGTTCATAAGCTCGGTTTCAGAAAACTTGTCAGTAGTTTAACAACTATTTGAATTTTAGTAATGTATGGAGACCAATTGGTTGATACGAGAAATAATTTGAAGCAGTTTAATAAAGAATGTTAAACTATATTTAAAACTGTAATTGAACTTCAACTTATATTAATTATCTGAATCCAGTGGCCAGTTGGAATAGATGATAAAACAAAGTTTCCATTTTGCAGCAACAGCGCAAAAGGTTTCTACAATAATTCGTATTATGCCTGAGTCTAGTTCTGTCTTATCAGCTTTGTTTCGAAATGTGATCAATACATTACGTTTTTTTCATTATTACCATACAATACATAGATTTAAGAATAAATTAAACAAATATTACAACATTGACCTAAAAGAGCAGACAGATTTTGCAACCCTGATCTCCTCAGGCAGGTTGTTTACGACCAGCAGTGATGCCTCTGAGGGTCTCGGGGTGCAGGACGGGGCATAGAAACCCTATGCCCCGTCCTGCACCCCAAGGTCACAAACATATCTTAACATACCAGCAATACAATTTAAGAATGTATTCTTAAAGCAATATAATCTTATTTTCTTCTTACACCTACAGCGCACACCCTGAATGGTGTGCTTCTTGTTTACATTTTCCTCTGCACACTCAGATGCAGGACATAAAAACACTCTTGCTATTTCATTTATTTGCAGCACATTTATACTACCATCATTTTGCTTTACATCTTTATATTATTTATTTGTCTCGAGTCATTTACTTTTGGTGAGTTAACTAAAGTTTAGTTTATTTTACCCTGGCTGTGGACTGATTCATTATTAGTTGTTACAAAACATGCACAAGACGGTTGTTAGACAATCCAATATAGACCTCCGATACAAACAATCAGACAAACAAACATGAACTCGTAATAAACACCAGCGCGTCAGCAAAGCTCATCCAGCTCAATTTAGTCCGAATTAAGAGGTTTCAGAGGGGGTAGGGAATTATCTCCAGTGGGGCGCCTTGACTCACGCTTCCACCCTTGTATACAAGTCCTTCGATCGGTGCCTGATGATCGTCCAAGAGCGATAACTAGCTTATCCCCTTGCGACAAC